CTGGAAAATTTAAGGGGTAGTTATATAATAATTTTGGACGATCTCGGGCGGTCGGATACTTATGACCGCTACTGTATTTAAAAATAAAAAATAATGATATTATAAAAACATATAATAATATATATAATAGAATACATAATAACTTTTGGAATAATAAATAAGAAAGAAAATATAAAAGAAGAATTAAGAAGGAATAGAAACAAAATAAAGTTGAAAATGAAAGTTAAAAAAGATATTAGAATTTGTAATTAGAAAAATATTAGTGAAAAGATATAATATAATGTAAAATATATTAGTAAAGAAATGTAATATTAGAAAATAATAATAAAATTATGATAAAATAATAAAAATTATTAGTGAATGAAATTAAGAATTTAGAATGCTAGAAGAAGGAGAAAATTAGATTCATTGGAAAAAGAAAATAAAAATTAAAATTAGTAAAATGTGAATTTAATTTTTTAATTATATTTTAAATAAATATATCTTCATCAATATTTCATTTATAAAAATAAATACTTGTTATTTCATACTTAGTGAAGAATAACTAAGTTATTCACAAGTTATATATAAAAGCATATGCATGTTAATATATGTAATTATCATATTAATTATGAATATTTAAGTAATCTGTAATGAAGTTTAAAATAACAGTCTTATCTTATTATATATGATATATATACTGGTAGAATTTTTATAAATTGAATATTTTTTCACATATCATTTTCTCACCTTTATTCCTTTTTTTTCTTTTTACAAAATTAAAAAATTTTTTATCTTAATAGATTTTATCTCTACAAATAAGAAAATATTATAGCTTCAACAACTTTAAGAGTAAAAAATATAGACAAATATATCTCAAAGTGGCTTTATACAGTTAATAAATTTAATAAAGAGGCTAATTTAACAAAAAATATTAATAAATATGATACTTGTAAAGAACTTGACAAATTTTATGTAAGTTTATTACATAGCTTAAAAAATTAAATTGTCAAAAATACAAGATAGATCTGTATATAATTATTATATATCAATAGCAAAATATTTAAAAAAAGAGTCAATAATTAAATTACGTAAAATCTAGAATCAGTATACCTTTTCTTTAACAATTAAAATATTAGATAGTAAAATATAACAACTTCAAATTCAAAGATTTAGAGAAATTGCATAAGCTGATTTATTAATAAGTAAGAAATTAAACAAATATTATATTATGCATTAATGAATAATAAATATTTAATTAAAGAAGTATTCTTTTTGATTTTTTTATTATATAGTATACATGGTGGTAATGCCTATAAAATTAAAGTTTGATAAATTATATAAAGAAAAAATGGTAAATTAAACTTAGAAATATTTACTGAAAAAAAATCAAAAAGATGTAAGAAATAGAAATAAATATGAAAAATTTATATTATGAAAAATCTTTATTCTACCAGATTTTGAAAGAAATATTTGTTAGTTTATATATGATATTTTAAAATATAAATTAATGAAACTTTCAGATGCATATCTATTATTCTTTTTAGAAACTATATAATTAAAAAAAGTAAATAAATAAATATTATTTATAATTTATTTAATAAATTAATTATAAAAATTTTAATTATTTAAATTTTAGTAAAGAAATCTGATATAAAAATGCTGAATAAAATAAAATAAATTAAGAAAGATGTTACATCAAATTGCTACTTAATAGGTATTAATTTAACCAATTACTGAAAATTTGTTAACTATAGTTATTGTAGAATAGTAATTCAAATGCTATAAGATGAAAATATTCTAAAAGATAAAATTATAGAATTTTTTGATTATAGATTATGAGAAGGAGTAAGAACTTATAAAAGTTCAGTTAAAGCAAAAAAAATTTAAAATGCTGTTAGTTTAATATCTTTAGATTTTGAAAAAATTGAAGTTAAAAAATTTAAATACTTTTCTGAAAATTTATAGGCTAACTTAAATGATAATGATTTAAATTATTTAGATAATAGCAAATTAAATGTTTTAAATTTTTTAAACAATTAATTTAATGATCTTAATTTTAAAAATAAATGAAAAACAAAAAATGTTTAATAATAAATAAAATGAGAAATTAAATAATAATAAAAATTTAAGTCTAAATGAAAAGTTGATATATTTTAAAGAAAGTTCTAATGAAAATTCTGATTCAAATAATGAAATTCATATAAATAATGAAAGTAAATCATTTGTAATTTATTCTTTTAATTATTTTTAAATTTTAATTTCAACTATTTTTTTTTAAAAAAAAATAGCAAAAAAAACAAGCATTAAAAGATATTATCAATTTAACATACAAAAAAAGAAAATTACAATTAGAATTTTCTAAGATATCTATTTCTAATTCAATCACAGATATGCATTTTCATATTCATTATTAATTGTATTATTTACTAATTATATAAAATTAATATAATAAATATGCATTACTTTAATATAAATTTATTAATATTTGGTATTTATATACTTATTATAAACCTGTATAGTAAGTAATAAAAAATTCTACTAATATATATATAATATCAATGGAATAAATAATAATTATTTAAATTTTCTCATCAAGATAAAGCTAATGAACTAAATATTATTAAATTATAATCATTAATTATGATAATATTATTTATTAAACTTTTAGTTTAAGGAATGGAATAGGTTTGAAACTTTATCTTATACCTTTATAGTATAGGTAATAAGTATAAAAACATGTGATCAATAGATTATATGAAAGACAATTAATTTCAGATCTAACTGAAAATATTCTTTTAGTATCAGAATAACTTTTTACATTCATAAATAAGCTGATTTTTAAGCTTTATCACTTTTGCTATAGTCTAATAAAATTATAAAAGAACAAATTACTAAATAATATCTTAAAATTAGATACTTAATAAACTATTTTCATATTTTACTAGTAGGATACCTATCTATTTTTTTTAAATTAAATGATATTTTAAAACAATTTTATAATTAAATATCAGAAATGAGAGCTAATATTAAAAGTAAATCTTTAGATTAGACTAATATAAATTTTAATTGGTCATTTAAAAATAAAAAATACAGAAGATGATTACAGGTATCTGAACAATAAGTATTTTTTTGTTTATTTATTTTATTTATATTAATTCTAATTTAAGCATTTGTTTATAATATAAATATATATTAATCATAACAAATAATAATAATTTTCTTTTAAAAAAATGGTTAAAACAAAATAATTGACAGCTGAATAATATAAGCAATTCTTTATAGTCACAAATGAGATGATTTATATTAAATAATTGCTAATAATATTTAATATGATAAAATGACTGTTCATAATATGATTAAACATTTTAAAAAACCAATCTGCAATACTGAAAAAATGCTGTAGTCTAAAGCTACTTTTTGATTCAAATGTATAAGCCTTACTTAAAAAGTTTATTACATAAAATTTGAAGTATCATCACCTTACCACTAAAAAATTCAAGAATTATACACTAAAAAATAAGTTTCAACTGTTACAATTTATCAGACTTTTAAAAATATTGGTTTATGTTAATATGTTGCTCATTTAAACTATTAATTTCTGAAAATAATTAAAAAAAAAGATTGGAATAAAAAGATTAGACAATTGCAAAGTTGTATAGTCTTGATAAATTAATATTTAATCAATTTTCACAAGATCATAGTTTACATATATGACATATACCAGAAAATGAATTTGATCCTTCATGTTTAACTGCTATAGTAAAGCACAATCCCAGTCAAATGTGGTAATGCTTTTCATGGTATGGGCTAGAACCTCTTGTTCCTCTTCGTGAATCTGTAACAGGACAAAGATGCTATTTCTTCACTTTGCAAATTAGTTCCTCATAAAATTTTTCAGGAGGATAATGCCCCAACTCATTGAGCAAAGATTACTGCTGGTATTCATAATGCCGCAAAGATTTCTGTGCTACTCTGGCCCACACCAAGCCCCAATTTAAATCCAATTAAAAATCTTTGGAATGAAGTTGATAAGAAAGTGTGTAACTTGCCTAATCAATCTAAAAACTTGGAATATTTGGAATATAAGGTAAAAAATGCTTGGCGTTCAATTTCACTTGAGTATATTCAAAATTTGGTTGAAAGTATGCCCTGTCAAATTCAAGCATTTATAACAGCCAAAGGTGGTTCAACAAAGGATTAGTTTTTATTTTTTTTTTAATAAAATATGTAGGAACAAATAAATTTTGCTTATTCTATAAAAAATGTTAAGATAATAAGTAAATACAAAAAAATTTTTAATCGTTCGGGTACCCGTGATCACCCTCTGTAGCAATAGAAATTATATGTTGTACCTTATGTTTTATGCTTAGAATTAGTGAATTTAATAATAAATAATTTTTTTTGCAACACAAATCATAATTTTCTTTAACAATTATCCTGTCTTTTAGCGAAACTAGATTTCGTAATAAGTAAATTAGGGACGATCTTCACATTCATGAAAAATACTTAATGCATGTTCTTAGCTTAATGAACTTAACTTGATGATCATGTGATCATTCAAAAATTTTATTGTATTACAATATCGCACGACAATTCAATTGCATTATTTATTTTTATTTTTATTATACCAAAAAAAATTCCCATAAATTATCACAAGTTGAATCCTTATCAATATTAACAATTATCTTTTATAATATTAATTTCAATTAGCGTTATGATATCATACAGATCACCTGATTTCGATTAAACCGAAAATTGCTCAGGATTCTCTTTTTTTTTTTTGGCAGTTTCCCTTTTCTATTGCAAAGATCCCATATGATGTGCAAATGATCTTTTCCATAGTTATAATTAGTATATTCCGTCTTTTTAATTATATGATTCTTTTTTTTTCTGATAAAAAAGGCATCAAATATATCTTGTTCCTTCACAAATTTGTTGATAAGTCCAATATTCTTTCCATTATAATAAATAAGCAGAATCATCATAATTTAAATTCTCTAGGCTTATTAATTTATCTAAAGCGCATCCTACTAGCAAAGAATTTAAATTCTTATATTCTTCAATTATAAACAACCTTTCTAACTCCTCTTTCTGTTTTTCTGTATTAACATAAATCAATAAATGATCATTATTGATCCAATGCCACCATCCAAATAAATCCCACTTAACGAATAATTGCAACAGGGGCTCTTTTTCAAAACTTCAACACATTCATGTTTGATTTCAAAAGTAAATTTACGAGGAGATTCTGGTCCACGAGCATATGTAAATTTTTTATATTCATCATCCAGAAAGTGGAGACTATAATTTCTTCCAAATTTAGAAATTCAGGTTCATATTCTCCAGACAATCCTAAAAGGTTGAGATCTCATTTAGACAAATCCATGACTTTCAAACACAACAATCTTTTCATACCTAATGACCAGAACCATATTTCAACTTTCCATCCTTTCTCCAGAGCATGTTCAACTAAAGGTACGTAATCACTATCGCCTGCGACTATAGCCAATATTCCGGGATCCCTCTCTTTCAAGAATTTCATTCCATGCATAACTAATGTCGTATCTACTTTTTTTTCTCTTTTCGTGTTCGGCCTTTGTTTAATGAGGTTTACAATAAAACCTTGATCTCTACGTTTATCCCAAAGTCTATCGAGCCTTTTGTCATCAAGATTTTGGGAATGACGAGAGCAAAATATTTCTACAGGGCCACCCAACTTTCGTCCTTTTGCTATCGTTTTTCGAAGTTGTTCGTAATCAACGTATAGATTTGGTTTGTCAACTACGTTTTCATCACGCATCACAATTCCTTTTCCTTGTTCGAGCAAATTCGAATGATCGACAAGGGTGGTTATCTTCCCGGTAAATGTTTTTTTTCTTCCTAAATGGCGAGATCATAAGCAAAAGTGAAATAAATACGATACAGAGAATGAAATCATAGCAACCAAAAATCAAGCCATTTACCTCGAATTTCCTCGTCGATGATGTTTTTAAGATCTTCATATTTAATGTCCTTCGATTCCAAAAATTTACGAAGTTCTTGGAAGCTCATTTCGTTTACTTCTTTCGTAGGACGAGAACTTTTCGCAGTAACTGTAATTAAATATGTACTAGATTTTTAGTAATATATTTTTTTTTATTTGTAATAAATTTGAGAACTTACTTATGTTATGAGACATTGTTTGTTTGTTTTAGATTTTCAAGAAAAAAAAACTGTTTATGTCAATCTTATTAAAAATGATTTAGTAAGGTCGAAGAAATTGTTCTTTATTTATGCGATTTTTTTTAATGACTAAATAAAATATGTTTAGTATGATATATCAAAAAAAAAAAAAAAAATAACAGGTACCCTGAACAATGAATGATGTTATTGCCTTTTTCAGCGTGGAATAATGTCCGATATACAGTAGATGATGCATGAAAAAATTGTGGCCTTACTTTTAGGATTGAAAAAAAAAAGTTCAATATAGCAATCTCTCTGAAGAGATTAAAGCATGAAGTATTTAAAAAAACCGAGCCTATCCCATCAACGCTTCTCTAATCACAATTATACTCATTAATAAATAAAACGAAAATCAATAAAATTGAGAATTACAAACAATCTCTCGGATTGCCATCTCCATTAAGGGCTATAAAAAATATGGCGTATTTAGAAAGTGTGTGCATTTACAGAGATTAAAATAATTAAAGGACTCGTAAGTAGAACATGCATTTAGAGTGAATTTATATTATGCGTGCAAGTTTGAATTTTACTAATAAATGCTATAGTTTTATTAATATAGATGTATGGAAACCATGCATCATCATATATAATTATCTTTAATGTACATGATTTTATTACGCGAAAGTTCACAATCTTAAAATACAAAGACAAAGATCAGTTACGAGTTTTTCTTTAAAAAAAAAATTCCCATGACACATTTTCAAAACTTGTGTCATTGCCTCCGAACTCCGTTTCATTACTTGGAATAGACTCAATGATATTATTGCTCCGAACTCCGTTTCAAAGAAAAGATTTACCAAAAAAATTTTTTGAATAAACTCTCTTTTTGTGAGCTCCTACATTCAAAACATTACAGTTTATATTTTTTATTAATGTAAAGAAAAACTCATTTATCGTATGCAAAAAAACAAACTGTATGTTTTTCCTAATTAGTGTTGTATGACAGATTTCTTACAGTCCCCGGCGAAAAGAATGGCGATAGATATACCGCATCTATATTCGGCCGCAGCGCCTCCGCTTTTCTGATTTTGAACCATTGTTAATTTTACCAAATCGGATAATGGAATGCTAATTATAAAAGGTAAGT